ACACACACACACACACTAGAACTTCTGAACCAATATAGCAGGTGTTATCTGAAAAATATCAGAGATTCACAGGGAAGCAATAGCAGGGCCTTCAGAAAGTCCTGGACAACCACACTCCTTCAGTGACATAGTGCTTTTCCTGCTTCCCCATCCTACCTATCTGTTACTTTTACACATAGGTTTGTTCCAAAGTTTGGAAAAAAATTATTTTTTTATTTTACTTTTTAAATTTTTTTCCAAGGAAAACATATTTTTTTCTGTGTATATAGTTCTCGGATACATCTCTGTGTATACGTATATTCAAAAGGATGACAGGGCAGATCTTTAAAATAACTGCATTCAAGGATAATAAAAATCTCTTAACACCAAGTTAAGTTTGCTTACTAGCAATGTATGCACTTCCCAGAGCTGCTAGCTCATGAAACCAAGACTTCAAAAATCTTCTAAAGCCAAAGCTGACTCTGTTGCTCTGAAAGCTGTAATGGGTCATACAGTGGAAAAACAGAGCTAGGTATCTAAATTTGCAGCTATTTACATAAACTGCTTTGAAACGTGCTGCTTTGCGGACCACAAACATTGAGTCAGGATCTGTGAGTTGGTTCCCAGATAAAAACTACCTCCTTCTTGCTTGCCACATCAGCTGGGGTGTCCTCATTCTGAGGTGCTCACTATCCCATCCCAAGCAAAGCTGGAGGGAGACAGTGGGGGGAAAAAAAAGCCCATAATGAGGCAATATGCCTATACCTTTCTTTTCCCCAGACTGCTGCCAACAGCAGAGATGAGAATTGCTGACTGGCTGCAGCTCACATTCAGCAGTGATACTATACCTCCCAAAGTCACCCTAACTACATGAACAATTAAAAGTAGGTGTGTTCATTGAGCCCTGTTCCTCCTCCCATCCTTACAACACACACATTGATAAGGACAGCAAAATCCACACAAAGGAGGATTTTTAATACTAAAAAATGTTTCAATGTATTCTAACCAATAAAATAACTCTTTAATAGGAGGAAAATAGAAGCTCTAATGAGAGAGCTGAAGAAAAAGAGAAAAGCAGTAAGAAGCAAGAGGACGAGGTAAAATTTTACATAGCTTAAAAAGGAGGCAAGGACACACAAGCTGAAAGGAAAAGGTCTTGAAAAATAATTTATTTTTAAAAGATCTTATTATTATTTATACCAGGTACTGAGCCTGGAAGCTGCTGGAGAACTCCAGAACCACCTTGTAACAAAGAATAAATACACAAATCAGAGACCTAAGGATAGCCTATCCTTTAAGAGGGAAGTAAAAATAAAAAAATAAAACATTGGTTCATGCTACAAAAATCCTGCTTCATTCAAAGAAGGCTATACTTTAGGTGAATTCTGTGCTAAGGAAAGGAAGAATATTCTGCAAGAAATAGACATGAGCAAGCAAGAATCCACCTACTAGCATGCTAGGAAGAGAGCTGAAGAAGAGATTCCCCATGATCACCTTGGAGATCCTTTCTGATCCACAAGAAAGATCTTCAAATTAAGTCATCAGCAAATTAAATAGTGCAAATAAGAAATTCTGATTTATGGAAGATAACCCATCTTTTATTGGTAGTTTAACAGTTTGCATCTTAGTAAAATGGAAATGAAAGTACAGGAGATCAGCAGCCAGCAGTCAGAAATATATTTTTAAAATAGCAAGGTGCTCACTTATCCATTTGTTTAAAAAAAAAAAAAAAAAAAAGAGTTGCAAAATATCTGCCAAACAGAAGTCTTTTTAAACGACAAAGGTAAAACACCAAAATAAGCAAATTATCTTGTGTGAGTAGGAACTAAATGTATTAGGTACTACTAAAGCTAGAAATATGGCTGGACAGATCAACCTTATTCAGAAAGAACTGAACCCTCAGACAAGGAGGATGGAACGGCATTATCAAAAATAGCATTAACCATTTTAGTTGTCAGAGGTGTCCTTGGACATTATCATCCCACATGCTCAAGAGGCTGATGTGTTATCAGATAAAGCTACTGCAGTCTAAACAGGTACATGCTATACTGCACAGAAATCATAACAGAGGGTAAGAAGCCTGACTCCTCAGATGCCCATATAAAATACCTGAGGAAGTTCTGTTAACATTATTCTAGCCTGAATGACATTCACTGTATCTCAGACCTCTAACAGTAAAAGTCATCTCTGAAGTTTCTAGTCGACTGTTTCTTGAACTTACTGTTACAATCCAAGCAGGGCAAGTCTATTCAGTTTCATATGATAAAGAAAAACTTTCACAGAACTCTGTGCTAAGATATAATCCTTTAAATCACCTAAGAATATGCAGCTTAAAGTAAAGACTAGTGAAATAGCAGTGACTGTAAAATCTGCTACTTTTGAAAGTGGAGGACAATTGTAAATCAAACCAGATGCCAAACAAGCTGGAAAGAAAATGTAAGTTAATGTTAACAATTTGATTCACAGAAGTCATGGGGCATTCAACAAAACAGCCAGGGTTACAGAAAGTAAAGATAACCCTAGGGGAAAAAGAGAGGAAAAAGTTAATTGCAAAGAAGAGAAATCTGTGAGAAGCAAGCAACCAAAAGAAGAACTGAGAAATCCATGGCCAAAAAGTTAGGGATTTTTTGCAGGAATTATATATAATAAGAATGTGGAATCCAGATAACAGTATTCCAGTGTTCCTAGATGAATGCAGCGAAGATGGACAAAGCATTGCATACATTTGTTCCAAATGTGCCAAGAAAGCCCACTTATATAGACAAAAGAGTAAGATAGTTCATATGAATTTAAGAAACAAGGCATGTAATTCAGTAATTACTAATTTATCAAAATACACCATGTCAAATTAGTTGCTCAGACTTCAATTTTAGTGTTGCAACAGTACACTGATGAATAAACTTTTCAAAAGGTACCCAGTCCCACACGTCACTTTGCAAAATTAACATGAAGTATGCTGTGAACTGGTTCAATAACAGACCTCATAACATAATTACAAAGTCACTCAATAGATGCATTTGTCATGCAGTGCTGCAGGAATCACTCTGGACCTGCACAGCATTTTATCAATAACTTGGATGAAAACAGAAGTCTCTGAAAGTATAAAGGATTTGAGATGGGATATAGAAGAAAAGAGTTGGAAGAAAAAGTTGCTAACACAATGAGGCAGAATTGCTGTGCACACCAAATACAGAAAAAACATTTGAAAATACTGTAAAAAAGACAGTGCACATTCAGAACAGGAAATATGTCACAAAAAACAACCTTGGGAAGAAGTTGTTCAAATCATGATTGAAACGGCAGTTTTATAAAAAAAAGCAGAAAGCCTTCTCTGGGAAGCCTCATGCTGCCATCTAGAGGAGACCGATCAGCAGCGGTTTTAATCCTGGTTTTGATAGCCAGTCAAGTCAAAAGGGGACTATTAAAATTCAATACACAAAGATATAGTCAAATCCAATACCTCTGGACCAAAACCACAAGTCCCTTAACTTTAATGAACAGATCTTTTGGATTTTTCTTCTTGTTCTCTCATTTATCTAAGTCTGTAAGAGAAAATAACTGAAAGACAGTATTAGTAAAAACAGACCGGAAAAGCTCTGTTCAAACTCCGCATCTAATTTTCTTTGAAAATCTTCTGAAGATAAATGCATATTATAACACACAAAGCATTCAATGTATTATAGCCTAAAGGAAAATAGACTTCAGTGACAAGAAGTTACAAACATGGAGAGCTTTCATAAAGCTTGAAAATTCAAGATTTCAGTTACTACAGACTAAAGGTTCTAACTGCTGGACCTCAGATATTTCATTGTTTGCTCACTTTGTCTTCTTCCCATATTTATTTATTCTCAGTAAAAATACATGGAAATGCATGCAACAAATATTGCTAAGGAAACAACAACATTGTTAGCTTTAATGTAACTCAGGTTCTGCTTAAATGCCATTTAGCAGGCCAAAGCTGCCTGATGCTGAAGCCTGCAGCTTAACTGAGAAAGCCAATCATCAGCTAATCTTTGTATCTGACTCCGTTTTACATTGTTATACTTTAACTTCTACTCCACTAAATGCTTTACACAATCTTAACAGATGGTAGCACTGAAAGTAAAATAAACTTACAGGGAATGTGTTAAAAACGGCTTAATAATCTGTTAATAGCAAAAACATTAGCATATCCTAGGTTTACAGTCAGGAAGACTTCAAAGGTCTATTACTGCTTTTTTGTTATCCACTAAAAGGAAAGTGAAAGACCTGTAAGTTTTAAAACTTTTGGTGCTTTGTGCAGCCCAAGAGTCACTGCAACTAAGGTCTACACTAGAGCAAAATTAAGCAGAAAAAAATTAAATGTATCACTACATAGTACATGCAGCATTTAAAAGAAATACAATACTCTTTAAATCCTCAAAGCTGGATCAACCTGTTAACAACAGAGTCCTAAATGCGATGACAGCAGGTCCTTCTTCAAAAAAAATGGTAAAAATTGGTTGGTTGTAAGTGCGATGAAGGTCAACTTCAGTAATTAATGACATCATCTCCTGCCACAACTGAGTGCAGAAAAAAATAACAGCTACAGAAGCAGAAAACAGTATGAACACTAAGCAATAGGAGAATCCTACACACAAGTTAAAGGTGCACTATGAAAGGCAGTGCATGAAGTTTGACAGAAGTACTACCACAAGTATTCAGAGAAATAGCTTTAGTATCTGAGCGGGAAACTAAGCAAAGTGACCTGATTTATCTAAGGCAACGTTAGGTCAGGAACAGAAGTCTATGTATGACTAGACAACACCAAATTGACATATGACCTCTTTTTATTTCTGCTAAGATGTTTCCCCCATGTGGGTAGGCTGTGAGTTGGAGTTGTAAGCTCGCCCTCTCATCCTGTTTTGGAAGGTCACCAACTGTGACAGTCAGACACATGTCAAATCTGCCAACACGCTTTCCCAGATACAAATGTACCATGAGCACGTGCTTTAATGGGAAGATTTGCCATGTAGTCAGTCACATCTGTGTACAGCACTTACATTCATCCAGTCCCAGCTGATAAGCCAGGTTCTGCAGGCCACGAACTTTTTCCATCAGGTTAGCTGTAGTGAGGCTCCCCAACTCTAAGAAGAGAGAAAAGTGTGAATTTTAACACTGTGTATAGCCCTCTAGTGACACTTCACCACTTCACAGAGCATTTTCAAGTCATACTTCTGACAGGCTCTATTTCCAGTGAACAGAGTATGCTTGAAATTCAAGCTGATGCCACCCCTGATTTTAACGTACTGAGAAAAGACCAGCTTTCTCTACTGAAAAAGACAGCCACAGATCTGGCTTATACTGTAATCTGCCACCACTGCAATGAGCAACTTGTCCCATATTTTGGAAGCTCTTGTAAGTTCACATTGCTATGTGAACAAGCTACAAAAGAGTATGCAAGGGAATGGACTTACCATACTTTAATAACGTGTGTTTAAACACATTTCTTGCAGCAACTCAAAGCTGATTTGTCCCACTTTCACTTTGCAACAGTTTATCCGGAATTCACATGAGAGGTAGCGCATGCTCAAGGATGTTCACGGCAAACTAATAACTGTAACATGCAGCAAATCTACATGCTAGCTAGCCCTTCTGCAACTTGCTCATACAGCCTTACCATTTGATTAGAGATCTTGCATCTATGAGTGAAGACACACGCACAGAGCATCTCTGAACAAGTCCACCAAGAAGTCTAAGCTGCTCATCAAGTCTCATCAGCTGAGGCCCACCAAAAAATTAATGCCACTTCTCAAAATACAGGAAACACCCACTATACTTATGCAATGAGAGACTGGTAAGCAAGGTAACTGAAATATATGTAACATTACACTGCTTCAACTAGTTCCTGCATGCTTGTTTTGAAAAATCAGCCTGCCACTGACATCTGGATATTCTCTTGGAGACAACTGGATTAATGAAAAATGTATATCATTAACGAGATAAAGAGACTTCTGAGCTGAAGATTCTCTAAATATGAGGGCTAGAGAACTGAGGCCACAGGGTCACCTCCAGAACATTTAAAGAATAAATGTTTTAAGCCTCTTAAGTAAGTACTGAATTCCCATCTGCTTTGGCAACCTTACTTCCTGCCCACAATGTCCATACTCACCCTTTAACATATCGATATCATCATTTTCTAATTCAGCCATCCACTTAGGAGGAGAACTTGTAATAGGCTGTTTTGAAAAAAATGAAAGTTCATACTTGGACAAGTGCATTTTTAGAATTATACAAAGAAATCTAAACTTGTACTGAAAACTAGGTATGCTGACAGCAAAAATAGGAGAGTTCCACGTGCTCTGTAGAGATATTTTAATGTTTAATCTTGTTTTCTAGTTTTCCCTGGATTTTTTAATTAAAAACGGCACACTACCACCCACAAGCCAAAGTCAGTATGAAAAGCAGGATTTCCTGACGTTTAAAACCTTTTATTTCTTCCAAGGTATAATTCTCATTCACAGTAAGTTGCATACGATATTAAAAAAACATAAAGGAGATATTAAAAACAAAAGGATCAAGCTAGCATATATTGAAGTTATAATCGAGACACGTTTTATAGAACAAAGATGTAAAGCCCACAAGGAGAAACAGCAGATCTACCACCACACGCGAAAGGCAAAGTAGCGATCACTCACGCTTTTGAAGGAGGCGGCGAACTCGGCAACCCCAGGCACTGGAAAGAGAAAAGGAAAAGCAGCGAGGGGTAAGCGTCTCTCCCGGCAGCACCCCAAACCCCCCCGCCTGA